CATGTAGAGAGTTAGTCAGAATGTGTAGGATCCTGGCATTAGCGATTATAATTTTAGAAGAAAAACGGAATATATAATTCTTAGACAAAGATAATTTACTTAAATGTGACTGTAGTATTTGGCCTTAGATACAGCTCACTCTTAACAAATTCTGCTTTGCATAAACAAGAATTTTGCATGTTTATACTCTCATGCTGCTAATTGATAGTATTTAGATACAATAAAATAAATAAATAAAGATTAAGAGTAAACCTTTTCACGAAGAGTGCATTTTTCTGACATATATTATTCTAATATTTAGATGTACTTAAACCAATAGGTTTGTTTAAGAAATATCCTGGCATGAGCTCCTTTCACCTCATTTGAGGGAAAAAAAAAAAAAGAGACTAAGATAGGACAAATTATTTTCGTCTTCCAGTTATGATGTTGAAATCATACAAACTTCCTCTGAGGTCAGAGCTGAGAGCACCATGTCCCAGAACATTTCCTCTCTTAGTTATAAGCAGCGTTTGAATTATAACCCAGATCTGGTTTAAAGAATCTCCTTCAGTCTGTTTTCCATTTGTTTCAGTTCAAAACCTACTGCTGCAGTAGAAAGTAAAAAAATTCTCTGAACTTCATCTAGAGAAGATAGAGTCTTTAATGTCTGAAGTACATCTCCTCTGGCTCTGAGACATATCCATTAATTCTGGGTGCTTGAGACGGTTACACAACATTCAAACCAGCCCAGCAGTTGTGGATGATTGCACCCAGCAGGTCCTGTCTCCTCCAGCTGAAACCAAGAAGTTTTGTGAAAGGAGAGGAAGACAGAAGGGATAGTATCCCCAAGCCTTGGCTTGTCTGGAGGTTTGCAAAGGGACATGGGAATTGGCTTCAGGTCCCACAGCTTAGACATAGCCTCAGAATCCAGACCCAGACAGTCACAGATGATGTTACATTGTGACCCCAAGTACTATCAGTACCCCAAGCCATCAGAACTGCAGGTGGTGCTCAGAGTCACAGACTTTGTTCAGAACAAAGTTTTTGTTACATGCATTTCGGCACCTATTTTTGACATGGTTGCCCATGAAGGAATACATAATTAGGTTTCTTTAAAGTTAGTCTTGTTCCAGTTCAGCTCTGTTAAGTTAATGTTTCAAACATTGTGAAAAAAGAAAGCAATGTCAGTACATGATGAGTTCTAGACTAGGACTAAGAGGATCTATGTTTTTTTCAAGGATATTTAACTGTTTTTCTAGGTGACTTTGGAAAACTAATTTAATTCCTGAGTACCTCAACTTACTCATCTGAAAGTGACACTGACCTCTAGATAAACTATAGATTGCTTCTAAGAATCAGGCAGGGGAAGAGTTTGGAGAGTTACAAGGAAAAACATAATAAAGTCCTAATATTCTGTAGGGATCGTATACTAAAAAGCTCTGCCTCAACAATATGTAGAAGACGTCTCATGAGCTCAATGATCCAACACAGAGTTAAGTGAAGACACAAAGCAGAGAAAGGAGATTTAAGCAGTAAACTACTGCTCTATTAATTTAGCTACCAATAGGGAGAGGCAGTGTTTTAGGTTATGTCCCATTCCTCATCTGCATGTCTGCGTGCCTTCTAATAGAGCAGTAACAGCAGCAAACGTAATATCTGACAGGTATTTGTTCTCTCTTCCAACCTTCCTTCCCTGGGGAGGGATGTGCATGCTGCAAGCCGTCTTATCCAGTAGGATTTTGTTTTAAAAACACTGCCCTTGTACGGGAAGGCAACGAAGCATTTTTGAAAATAAAGGTGATGAAATTTGTGATGGTTCATGCCACAGTCTGAGATTAGCCTCCAAGAAAATTCAGTGACCTGAATGTAAACAGTTCTACAAAGACGTGTAGAGTTATTAATCTCATTTCTGGGGCCCTCAAAGAGGGAGAACAAACAGACTGGGAGAGAAAAATGCCCCTCCTTATGCAACTTCATCAGGACTAACTTAGTTATTGCCTTCTACTTCCCAATTATAAAGACTGAACACACAGGAAGTGGAATGCTAATAACACAAGCATTTTTCGGACCCATCACTAGTGCGATCGCGTTATCTCCCCTTACAAATATACTAGTCTCCTTGCAAAAAAGTAGATTTTTACACAATACAAAGAAAGAGAATTCTGCTTACTTCTCTGAGCGACGTACATAAAGGAGGAGATTTAATAAGGCAGAAACCGTAGCAAGACAGTGCCTGTGTCTCCTAAATATCCACTAGCAGATACCAAGTTTAAAGGGCACTTACTAAATGCTAACCATGTTTGCCTCAGTTGCAGGTACACTCTGAAGTCTGTCTGGAATCCTATATCGTAAACAGTGAGGTCAGATCCAGGTATTCCTTTAAGATGATCATACTCCCAGTAACAATGCCAGATGCCTTTTAAAACACAATCAATATAAAATGAGTGTTTCCGAAAAATACAAAGCCAAGGTTTTCTTAAAAAATCTTTTACAAGCCAAGTGTTTTGTCCTTGGCATGTCAGGTCAGCAAAAACCAAAAATGCATTATTGTGAGACTAGTCAATTATAAAATGACATATATAGAAAAGAAACACCAGTACAAGTGAATACAGACTAAGCATATAGAGGGCAGATAATTCAGGTTACTACATCTGGTGCTAAGTATTGATTCTTAATAAATTTCACTGCCATTTAAACCCTTCTCACTTAACTGTGGCTAAAACTAGGCATTAATTCTCCCAATTGTATCAGTTAATTGATGTAATTACTGATTTTCCTTGCCCAAACTTAAGCAATAAGGAAAAATAGCCTCAGAGGCTAGAAGATTACACCTACCATAACCTATAATTCCAATCACACCAAAGATGAAAATCCAGAAAAGAACCCCAGCCGTGAACCTCAGTAACACAAGGAAGAGCAGACTTACAATCATTGCAATGAACAGCCCACTAGAAAGACAAGAAACAGAAACAGAGAAAATAAGTGTGAGAATCTTCACTTTCTTGCATGCCTGTTACTCAAATGAGGGTCATTTCATCTCACATAAGAGAATGATTTGTAAATATGTATTTCAGAATCTTCCTTATGAAATACATCCTCATAGCTATCATCTGCTATTAGAAACAAATAGCTCATGTATGATGATTTCTCAGGGCAGAGCCAGAAGTGTTTGTACAGACCAGGTTCCCAGGTTGGCTGAATGGGACTAGTACAACGCCTTTTTGGCCATTTACACCAGCTGAACAACTCGCTGCCTTTTTCAGGCCACAGTCTAGTCTACAGTTCAGAAAGTTATACTGAAGGAATACCTATGTGTGAGGAGGTTGCTGTTTTATGTCGTCCATTAAAAATCCCTATTTGCAAAGAAACAATGTTAGTAAAGTAACATTCCAGGAGCTTTCCTAGAAAAAAAAAAAACAAACAACTAAATTTAAGAGGAAAGCCAGTGACTCTTTCTTTGCATTGAAAGAGGAAATGATCAGGGCATCATGATGCATAAGTTTCTTTTAAGTTACCAATGGGGCCCCTAGGAGAAACATCTACAGAGTGTCTTCTCTTTATCAAGTCTATGGTAAGGAAACACTTGTTTTCATTTCAATCCTAGAAAGCAAATCAGAAAGGAAAAAATTACTTCAAAAGACCTTTTTACTTAGCGAGGCCTTCTGAAGCAATGTGAATAAAGCGATGTGAAAATAATCCCCTCCAACAAACAGCCAGCTCAGATGCTTCACAGAACATTTTATTTCTCAGAATTTTTAGTAGGTGTTACACCAGAATTTTGTATTAGTAAAGATTCAAAAAAACTTAAAACCTCTTCTTGCCTGTGTTCAGTAACTTCCCTTCTAAACGTTCCCAGGTTATTTAGCCAGTTACCAAAGACAAAAAATGGGTCAGTCTGATCACGAACAATCAAAACCAGATGTTTTGGGCAAACTACGCCAGATGGGCAGAGGGACAAGAAAAAGAACATCAGCTTATTTAGTTAAACCTTTGTAAGCTGGTCTTAAGTCCTAGCTCATTAAAGGCTTCCTAGCATGATATATTTTCCCTTTCTGAATGGCTTATTTGAAATTCAGAATGTATTCCTCAAAAAAAAGGTTGTAGTTTTGGAGCTTATGACTATTTTTGAAAGTAGCAAGTTACCTTTCGCTAAAGTTATCTTTAGATATATACGAGTCATAGAAACACCAATACTGAGCACATGGTCACAACTGTCCTCAATAAACTGATTCCCTTAAACAGAGGCTTGAAAGCAGCAGTTCCTTTGGGATGTGCCAATGTCACGGCTCAGCCCGGCCGCCGTGCAGCCGCTCCCTCGCCTTCCCCAGCCCCAGGGGATGGGCAAGAGAATTAACGGGCAGTTACTACTACTGCTACTAAGATATGAATAAATACATTTGCATAATGATAATAATATACACAAACCCGTGATGCACAGTGTAATTGCTCACCACCCGGTGACCAAGGCCCAGCTTGTCCCAGACTAACGATCCCAAAACAGACACTGCAATCCCGGATGAGCGAGAGGCCCAAAAAGAGAGCGAGAGCAAGAGAGAGCAGTCCGAGAGTCTAAGAGTGAGAGCCCTGGAAGAGCAAAGGCCCTTCTTTCCAGTCAACCCTCATCTTTATACTGGGCATGACGCTGCATGATATGGAATACTTCGTTGGCCAGTTCAGCCTTCACTCCTAAGTCTAAGTTCAGATCACAAGGGGAGTTGTGGCCTCTCTGTCCCAGCCATGACCCCCATCCAGTTGTGCTCCTGCACACCGGCAAGAATGCGGCAGCTGGAAAGTCCTTGAGGTCCCGGTGCCAACTACAAACATCAGTGCGCCGTCAG